TGTTGTTTTTGTAGATACAGACTAACACGGCTACCCCCTGATATTTAACGTAGATATTATCATTCCTTGTTCATAACTATGATTTACTGACACATTTGTGCCTCCCACACTTTCATACCCACACTTCATCATGGCATATTGATAACATGGGGCAGAAGAAGGAAGCCATTAGAAGGATTAGTGGGAAAATAGGGGCTCTGATGTTTCCAGCATGTAATGACACCCACCCACAGACTTCCATCTCATCCAGATTAGTTGGTGAAGCAGAATGACCTATTCAGTATCTAGGAGAGAGGACTGGACAAAGATGATGCTTATTGGTTGGAGGAAGCAGGTTACTCCAACCAATAAGCATCATCTTTGTCCAGTCCTCTCCCCTAGATGCTGAATAGGTCATTCCGCTTCACCAACTAATTTGGATGAGATGGAAGTCTGTGGGTGGGTGTCATTACATGCTGGAAACGTCAGAGCCCCTATTTTTCCACTAATCCTTCTAATGGCTTCTTCCTTCTGCCCCATGTTATCCATATGCCATGATGAAGTGTGGGTATGAAAGTGGGGAAGGAGGCACAAATGTGTCAGTAAATCATAGTTATGAACAAGGAATGATAATATCTCACCTGGCCACCTATAGCATGGTCAGTCTGTTGCACAGTATTCTTTCTCTATATTCTTCCACAGGTTCCAACTACTTCCAGAGGCAAAGCAATAACACACGTCTTTTTCCCTAATGAGAGAGGTGTTTCCTAACAATAAATCAAAGGAGGTAATGGGCAGTCCATGACAAGGCTCTTTATTTCTAATTCTAGCCCAAAAAACTCAATATAGAATTCACTTATTCATTTTTTTGCTGAAGTGGAGTTAAGGTTGCTGCTGTATAATATAGTCTTCTGCTCCCGATACCTTTCTGAACATGGGATTTCAAAACCCCAAACTCAAACATTAGAAAACAGTTAAGCTTTCCCCACATACTCCCAAAAAGAGCATTACTGTTAAAAATCAGGACATGCACAGTTAAGAATCATAGAATCATAAGGTTAGAAGGAACTGCAAGAGTCATCTAATCTAACCTCCTGCCAATATGCAGGATTTGTTGTGTCTAAACCATCCAAAACAGATGGCTATCCAGCCTCCTTTTGAAAACCTCCAGTGAAGGAGCTTCCATGATCTCCATGATTTTTCTGAGATTTAATCTAAATCTGCTCTGCTGGACTTTGAACCAATTGCCTCTTATCCTGCCTTCTGTGGCAAAAGAGAACAATTTTTCTGTGTCTTGTTTGTGGCAGCCTTTCAAGTTTATGAAGACCGCTATAATATTTCTCCCCCCGCCCCCCATATCCTCTTTTCCAAACTAAACATACCCAGTTCCTTCAGCCTTTGCTTGTATGGTTTGCATTCCATCCATTTGATCATCTTTGACACTTGCCTCTGGATCCTTTCCAGTTTCTCTACATCCTTTCTATACATTGGTGACCAAAATTGGACACAGTACTCCAGCTGAGGCCTAACCAGTGCTGATTAGAGCGGTACTATCACCTTCCATGACTTGCATGCGATGCCTCTGTTAATGCAACCTAAAATTGCATTTGCTTTTTTTGCAACAGCATCACATTGCTGACTCATGTTGAGGTTGTGATGCACCACAACTCCCAGATCCTTCTCAGCAGTGCTGCTGTCGAGCTAATTTTCCCCCATTCTGTACATGTCCATTTGGTTTTTCTTCCCTAAGTGTAGCACCTTACATTTGTCTTTGTTGAATTTCATTTTATGGTGTATGGTTCAGTTTTTTAATTTGTCAAGGTCCCTCTGAATTTTAGCTGTATCCTCCAAAGTATTGACAGCCCCTTCTAGCTTTGTGTAATCTGCACACTTGATCAGTGTGCTCTGTATACCTACATCCAGGTCATTAATAAAAATGTTAAACAGCATTGGACCCAGAACAGATCCCTATGGAACCCCACTTGAGACTTCTCTCCAAGCTGACATCATTTCATTAATAGTTACTCTGTTTGTGGTTGTTTAACCAATTATGTATCCACTTAATGGTAGTTCTGTCGAACCTGCATTTCTCCAGGTGCTTCTTCATACACAACATAATCTTTCTCTGCCCCGTAGGGATGATAAAAACAACGAGGAGTCCTTGTGGCACCTTAGAGACTAACAAATTTATTTGGGCATAAGCTTTCGTGGGCTATAACCCACTTCATCAGATGCATGGAGTGGAAAATACAGTAGGCAGGTATAAATATACAGGACATGAAAATAAATTTTCCCTCTGTTGATACTCACCACTTCTTGTCAACTGTTGGAAATGGGCCACATCTACCCTAATTGATTTGTCCTCGTTAGCACTGACCCCCGTCTTGGTAAGGCAACTCCCATCTTTTCATGTGCTGTATAT